CCCTCCTCCTACCAACTAAGCCTGCAACGTTGATGTTAGGTTGCCTTGTTCATTCTGTTCAGGAAAGAGACAAGAGGGTGGGAGGAGACCCAAATCCTAGATTTTACTGTGAGCCATTTCTGGGACGATGTAGGCAAATTCCTAATTTAAATTATTTTTGAGAGAGGCCTAGCCTGGAACTTGATTTGTAGGTGAAACCGGCTTCCGCTTCTCGAGCGCTGGGATTAAAGGCATATACCACCACACCCAGTTTTTGGTTTCAAGATTGGGTCTTACTAGGTTAAGGCCAGCTTCAAACTCATTCCTTCTACCCCAGCCCCTGAATAGCTGGAATTACAGGCCTCAGTTTCTCCACAAGGCAGCATCCATCTGTCTTCCGAGCTTCACAGTTCCGTACCCAACAAACAGAAGGTTCCCTTATAAAACACTGTTCTTTATTTTCCGCTTTGACCTTTGAAAGGTGCGGTCTTTCCAGCCCCCAAGACCGGCTGGAGGCTCCGCTCTCAGGCCTCCTGTTTCCCCGGGCGAATATCCTTCCACAGGCTCTCATTGGTTACCTCCGGCCGAGCCCCCGTAACCCTGGCAACAGTGCCCGCCCTGGAGCAAGCAGTCCAGGATTGGTCCGTAGCTCCCAAGTTCGACAGCGAGCTCCTTAGGCCTTTGGCCTGAGTCATTGAGAAGCTGGCGTGGTGATTGGCGAGCCTGGACGTCAGTCAGTCGGAGGCGGGCCCAGTGGGAGAAATGGCTGCCGCGTCTGCCGTCTGCCGGTGGGTGAGCGGTCTCATTAGGGGAGGCGTGGAGCCGGTTTGCAGCGTTTGGGGCATACAGCTCCCACCAGTAGGAGGTGGATTTCTGCTCCGCTGGGCTTGAACGCGAACGTCACCCTTCCGCGTCCCACACCCGGGATCAGGTGAGGTCAGAGGCCGCCTTCCCTTCCCGGTCCACGTTTTCGGACCCTATAGGATGCCATCAGGATCTGGAGCCAAAGACTCCAGTTATCTTAATGGTGGACAAATGGCCTACACCTTTGAACCTGAGACTCTCATGTGCGAAATGGGAACCGTAAATGGAACCAACCAGGAAACGGAACATTTACATAAAGCATTGCAGCCAATCGGGATATGGGTAGACACAGGAGAAGCTACACACACCACTGTTAAACCCGGTTTATAGTGGAAGGAATTCAGTTTCAGAGAGGGCCACTGGCTTGCCAAGTACCTCACAGCAAGTTTTGAGCGATTGCTTTTTCCCTGGTATAGATCAGGACCAAAAGAGTTTGTAAGAAGTACAAGAAAAGTTGTGAATATAAAAGCTATACAAATATTCAGGATGATTTTTTTTTTTTTTTTAAGAATTGTATGTGGTGACACATGCATGAATCCCAGGACATAGGAAGCTTAGGTGAGAGGGTTGGGGCCAAGTCAGGTCTATGCAGCAGTATCCTTGTATGAAAGAATAAAGGCCATATGTTTGCAATACCCTGAACTGCCAGTGAGCTATATATATCCCCCAGCCCTGTGTCTTTGTTTCTAAGACAGGATCTGACATAGTCCAAGATGACCTTGAGGTGACCTGGCCTCCTCAGCCTCCCAAGTACTGGGATTACAGGTGTGTGTCACCACACCAAACTGCCCCCAGGCCTTTGGTTGTGGGTTTTGGGCTATGGGTGGTGGTGGTGATGATGGTGTTTTGTTGTTAGGGGTTTGGGGTTTTGAAACAGGTTCTCCCTAAGTTGCCTGTGCTGGTCTTAAACTGATCCGGGCAGACTTTGGCCTGGTGATCCTTCTGCCTCAGCCCTTTGGAGAGCTTGGATCATAAGTAGCACCACTACACCTGACTTTAAGTCCCTGGGAACCATATGCTTCTATGGCTGGATTATTACTTACATCTCATATCCAGGGTAATTTTCCCTAGAGAGACCTTACTACTTGAACTAATGTGTCCTGCCTTCCTCAACATACTCTGACTTGTTTCTCATTTTTGTGTTTTTTATATCCATTATCCAATGTACTTGTTACATATCTACCCCTAGAAGATACATAGTAAGTGTTTGATAAATATTGAATTGCTATCTGGATAGGTCCTTACTGTTTTAAGTGTCTCTTCCTTTCCATAGGCCCATCCGGAACAGAACCTAAAACTTCAGCCTAGCTTCAGCATCGCATTACGTGTCACTTGAGAAACTTAATGCTTTCCTGACAGCAGTCCTGCAGAGGAAGTACCCTAGTGTGGGCTTCAGATACCTCCCAGCTCCTCCATGGCCCTCACAATGCTGAATGGACTTCTTATTGAGGACTCAAGCCCACCTACACTGCTGCACCAGATTAGCAAGACCCCTCAGCTAGATACCTTCAACTACCAAAGCTGCTTCATGCAAGACCTCTTTGCTCATTTCCCCGAGGTTTTATTTATACACCGGACCTACAACCCAAGAGGCAAGGTGTTATACACCTTTCTGGTAGATGGACCCCGGGTCCAGCTTGAGGGTCCTCTGACCCGAGCAGTATTCTTTGCTATCCCTGCCAATGAAGATGCCAAAAGTCTGGCCCAGATGTTCCAGGTGTTCAAAAAGTTTAACCCAGCGTGGGAACGAGTCTGCACCATCCTGGTAGATCCGCACTTCCTCCTGCTGCCCACCCTGACCATGGAGTTCCCCGCTGCTGAGGTCTTGCTCTCAGCCTTCCACATTTGTAAGTTCCTCCAGGGCAAATTCTATCAGCTCTCCCTTGAGAAGCCAGTCCAAAGTGTGCTTCTGTCCTCCCTGCAGAGCACAATGTGCTCAGCCACGGCTGGCAACCTTAGGAAGCTCTACACACTCCTGAGCAACTGCATCCCCTCCACCAGGCTGCCTGAGCTCCACTCACACTGGCTGCTCAATGACCGCATCTGGCTGGCCCACCGCTGGAGGAGCCGAGCCCAGAGCAACCGATACTTCCAGAACCTAGAGATCACGGCCCACCTCCTCAGTCAGTTTTTTGGCACCACGCCATTTGAGAAACAAGGCATGGCATCTGTGTTCCGATACATGCAGCAGAATGCTTCTGACAAAGCAAGCCTCAACCTGGCTGTGGCTCCCAAAGACAGTCACACTCCTTCAGATGGCAGCCTTGAAAGCCCCAGCACGGAGCAATTAGTGGAAGCCCGTATCCAGCACTCCCTCAATGCCATCTGCACAGGGCCAGCAGCCCAGCTCTGCCTGGGCGAGCTTGCCGTGGTCCAGAAATCCATGCACCTCATTGGCTCTGGCTCAGAAAAAGTGAACATTCAGATTCTGGAGGACACACACAATGTACAGCCCCAGGCCCCTGCCAGCTGCAGCTGCTACTTTAACCAAGCCTTCCACCTGCCCTGCCGCCACATCCTAGCCATGCTCAGTGCCCGACACCAGGTGCTCCAGCCTGACATGCTGCAGGCTCAGTGGACCTCAGGCTGTGCCACCAGTCTAGACAGCATCCTGGGAAGCAAGTGGAGTGCCGCCCTGGATAAGCACCTGGCCGTGACCCTCCTCACTGAGGAGGTAGGTCGCCTCTTGCAGCACTGTAGCAAGGAGGAATTTGAGCGTCGCTACAGCACCCTTCGGGAGCTAGCCGACAGCTGGATCGGCCCTTATGAGCAGGTACAGCTCTAATCACACGTACTTACCCAATACTGGGAATTGAACGCAGAGCAGTACATATGTTAGGCAGATACCCTACCACTGCCTGTTTTCATTTCTTATTTGGAGACAGCCTCTCACCAGGCTGCCTAGGCTGGCCTGAAACTCACTACATAGCTGAGGCTGGCCTTGAACTCCTGCCCCTCTATCTCCCAGGTGCTGACCACTGCCTCTTTTTATTTTGAGATACTCTCACTAGGTTGCCCAGGCTAGTCTTGAACTCACTCTGTAGACAGGCTGCCTCTGAACTTGTGAGTAAGTGGGATTGTAGGCCTGTGTCGCCAGGCCCAACTTGTGATTATGTTGAGGCCTTGAAATGTTCATGTACATGTGTACATTCACGTTCTCCCCTCTACACACACAGTTAGGCTCCCTTCCAGAAGTCCTCTGCTCTACTTCAGCCTTCTATCTAGAACGTGTCAAGCTCCATAAAACATATGTAAGAAAATGTCTTCTGTTGAGGGCTCAGTAGTAAATAAATGTGACGATCGAATACGGTCCCTGTTGTACATTCTGGCTTCGGTTTTGACAACCTTCCCTTAAGGGAAAATACAGCTCGAGGAGTTTCTGAAATCAAGGGGTTCCTTAAGAGAGGTGGTGGGTGACGAGGTTGGAGGTTCAGGGTTGGTGACTGCTACCCCAGTCATGTGATTCGTCTGATGCTAGCCCATGAGCCCTCCCACAAGGGAAGAGGCTGCCGCGGTGGCTCAGCCAGGCTTCCCAGTTCTCCCTGTCCCACCCTGGGATCAATAAAGTGACTGTTGTATCCCCACACTGTCCTGTGTGTTTCACATGTGGTCCTTGAGAGTAGTGAGAGGAAGGGCATTGGCAGGGTGATTGGCAGGGTGGGGCAACCTGAGTGTTGCTCTGGTTCTACCCGCCTGCTTCTGCCTCTGCTAGCTGTGAGACTCCAAGCAAGCAGCTCTCTCAGCCTCGGTTTGTCTGTAGAATGGGCGTCCTCACAGGGTTGGCCATATTAAAGAAGAATGGGTTCCTGTTTGTCTGGATTCGTAGGGTTTGCTCAGCCAAGTGTTTTCCATCTTCAGGAAGCTGGGACACAAGGCGAGAAGAAAGTCCTTATTGACTAGAACTTCAGACAAAAGTTTCTCAGGTTCCTCGACATAAAATTAGCCTCCACTCTCTAAGCAGGTCTTCCTATCTAGGTAACTTGACTTAACCTGGTCAGCTCTCTCTCTTAGTGTTATCAAGAACTTCCTGGGGGGGGTGGTCCTAACAAAGCAGTGCGATTTAGCAGGATGGCTCAGTTACCCACACCCTCTTCCCCTCCCTGCCATAGCCATCCCCAACCTTATCTGCCCAAAAACCATACGGAGAAGCCACCCTATGCATCTCATGCTATTTCATCTGGCTACAAGCAGGAGCCCCTCCTGGATCTCACTAGAGGCATCTGTCCAGAGGCCATGTGGGCATGTGCCTGTTCCCACTGCACCCCCTCCACAGCTCCCTCTGGCTCTGGATGGGCCATCATGAAAGCTTGAGCTGCCCGGATCAGGTCCTCTTCCCGCAGGCCTGGAACAGGCACGGTGGGGATGCCAGCGATCATCATGGCTAGGGTTAGGATGCAGATGTCAGGCTGGGAGCCAGCCTCCTTCCCACCTGCCTCCGAGGACATCGTCAGAACCCCTGGTGACAGCCCACACAGCAGCAGGGGCCGGGGCCTGCTAGGGCCACCCAGGTGGGGAGCTCTGCTTCGGGAGCAGGGGTCTGCCCAGCCCACGTTCTCCAGCTGCCTCATGGGGGGCAATTTGGGGCAGTATCGGTTGTGTTCCTTCCTCCGCGTTGTCTCCCAGCTAGCACCCCCAGAGCAGCCCCTGGCTTCAGGCACTGCCAAGGGAGGGCCCCAGGCCTGGGCAGCAGGTACCACCTGCTCAGCTTTCTGGCTGAGTGGACCTAATCCACCAGATGCCACCACCACTGGCTCTGCAGAACTATAGAGACCAAGGGACGAACCTGAAGCAGCAGCCCCACCTGCAGAGACAGGAAGGAGATGGAATGTTATTCTTGGTCTCTTGGAGCAAGAGGCCCTGAGGGGCAGGGCCTGGGAGCAGGGGCAATCAGAACCAGTCCAAGAGGACTGTCAGAGGTTGGGAATGTAAATGTTACTCATATCCATAACTCCAGCCAGTCCCCATACTGCAGCTGATGGGGAAGTGTTTGTTAAATAAGTGAGCAAGTGGGTAATTAGTAATTGGCAAGGCCTTTTGGATATCTTTTCTTCCAAGAAAATTGATTCCACGGTCAGCCCAAAAGCATCCAGCAGAACCTCCTCCCCAAAGCCAGGAAGCAACTTCACGTGGGAAGCTGTGGTGTCCCCTCCAGTTCCAGGATCCCCTCTCACCTTGGCCAGAAGGCAGAAGCCCCAGATGAGTTTGTGGAGACATGAAGTAGGACATGGCTGCCCCAAAGTCCCTGTTTGTGAAGGAATAGCCCTGCTCCTCCTGCCCTACTCTCCAGTTTTCTACAATGTCACCTCATAGTCCCCTTTACACCAGACCCTACCTCACAATACTAACCTGTTCATGATAGAACATACATGTCACAATGGGAGGGGGTTAAATGGGCCCTGGACCAGGATCAGGATGTCCTGGGCTCTGGTCATTATCTTGGTCAAGATCAACTTGGACAGGTGTTTTTGTTTTGCTTTTGTCCGGCACCGGGGATAGAATCCAGCAACTACATTCTAGTTGTTTGCTTTTTGTTGTTTGTTTTTTTGAGATAGATTCAGACTACATAGCCCTGCCTGACCTGGACTCCCTGTGGTCTACTTCCTGTTCCAGGCCTGAGGTCTCCTCCTTGCTGGCTGGGATCAAAGGCGTGAACCACCACACCCAGCCTGGTTTTTGTTTTTGTTGTTTTTGTTTTTGTTTTTTTTTTTTGCTTCTGTGTGGCTGGCCTCAAACCTTTGATCTTCCTGGTCCAGCCTTCTAGGTTTTGGAGAATATAGATGTGTGCCACCACACCTGGCTTCATCTAGACAGTTTTGTTCCTCAATATCCTCATCTGCAAAATGGGGGTGGCACTGCCCCTTACCTCACCAGGAGTGGTCAGGCTGAGACGAGATTGTCCCTGTAGAAGCTAATGATCAGAGAGATATGAATAGATGAGTTCAGTGCTTTGTGCCTTTAGTATGAGTCAAGGTATTCAACCATTCATTCGCTACCACATAAACCGAGCATGGGGCACATGCCTGTAATCCCAGCATTCAGGTGGTAGAAGCATGAGGACCAGAAATCTAAGGTCATCCTCCAGTTTGTGGCAAGTTTGAAGGCAAACTGGAGTATGGGTGACTCTGCCTTTCCCCCCCCCCATATTTGTTTATTTATTTATGTATATGAGTGCTCTATTTACATGTGTGCCTGCTTGAGAGAAGAGGGCATCAGATCCCATTAAAGATGGTTGTGAGCCACTATGTGGTTGCTGGGAGTTGAACTCAGGACCTCTGGAAGAGCAGCCAGTGCTCTTAACCACTGAGCCATCTCTCCAGCCCCACCCTGTTTCTTTGTTAAATCATTTGCTAGAGCCAGGCATAGTGGCTCATACCTTTAATCCCAGCACTTGGATGCAGAGGCAGATGGATCTCTGAGTTGGAAGCAACCTGGTCTACAGAATGAGTTCCAGGACAGCCAGGGCTACAATGAGAAACCCTGTCAAAAATAAATAAATAAATAAATAAATAAATAAATAAATAAATAAATAAAAATAATAATAATAATAATAATTTGCTATTTGTCCTTATACAATATTCTCACCTCTTGGCTTATTTTCCCTCTGGAAAATAGACGTAGTAGGTCCAGGTCACTGGTGGTCAGCATAGGCTCTGGGAGATTTTGAACTAGGGCCCTGCTCCATCCTAGATCAACTAATAGAATGCCAGGGGCAGACCTATGTATCAATACTTTTAAGTTCCTGAAGACATTACAGTCAGGCCTGATGGGACAAGCCTGGAATCCAGCTACCTGAGAAGCTGAGGCAGAGGGATCACAAATTTAAGGCGAGCATAGGCACCTTAGACTCTGTCCTAAATTGATTAATAAAAAAAGAACTGACGGCTAGGCGTCAGTACATGCTTTAATCCCAGCATTCAGGAGGAAAATAGGGGCAGATCCTTGTGAATCTCACACCAGCTAGGGCCACATATTGAGACCCCCATCTTTAAAGGGTTGGGGGAGGCTGGGAACTGTGGTTTGATGACACAGCGCTCATCTAGCAAGCATGTGGCACTAAACTCAGTCCCCAGTACTGCAAAAGACAGAGACAGAACTAGTAGGCCATGCCAGGACTCTCAAGTTGAGAAAGGAGGATCAAGATGAGCCTGTACTATAGAGACAAACCAAAAACAAAACAGTAAATATAATCTTTTCCAAAGGTGGAGCCTCTGATCTAATGAAATGTCTCTCCACTCTGACCATGTATTAGAATTTCTGAAGGGACTTTGTACAAAATAAATATAGTGTCAAGTCAAGCATGGAGGCTCCCATCTATAACCTGAGAATCTGGGGATCTAAGGGCAGCCTAGGCTACAGGCAAGACCTTGTCTAAAACAAACCAACACAAAAAGCCGTGATGACTGGGTTTAATTCCCACAAACCAAATGAGAATATGGAGGAGTGCTTGAGCACTCACCAAGCGTCCTAGATAATTGAAAGGTGTGTGCACACTAGGGAGCCCTGATCTAGACAGGTTCTAAAGCACTGAGCTCCCCAGGCTGCAGAGGCAAGGAGATCCCACCCCCCAGTGCTCAGCACATCCCCTTTGGCTATTTATTCCTGGCCCTGACTGTTAGCCATGTGGCCAGCCAGCTTCAGACTAGCTAGTGCTCTGGAGGCAGGCAGGATGTACTTCTGTAGCTCTGCTCTGTGGGGGGGGGGGGCATGAACCTTCATTCATACTTGCAGAAATCCTTCAGTCCTTTGGGCAGGTGGAGCCCATCAATGGCCAGCCTGTGCACCACACTCTTCTGGATCACCAGACGGCACAGAGTTTGCAGAGACGGCACTGTGGAAAGATGACTGTCAAAGGCAAACTCATCTGGGGAAAGTGACACGAGGGCTGAGAAGACCTACGTCTTGGTCCCCTATTTGCCATCAACCCCAAGAACTGCTTTCTGCTCTCAGGCTCAGCCTGCCTGGTGAGGCTGCCTGTATAACTGACATATACCTCTCCCTGAGACTTTGACCAGACCTGTCTCCATAATTAATACAGTCTAACTCCTTCTCCCTTGACTCGGCAGCTTCATGTCTGATTTGACTATGTAACCACAGCTGAGTACCTAGCCAGTTCCGGCTCAATAAATTCATGACACGTGACCAGAGGTGTAAGTGAAAGGTTTCCTGGGCTACAATGAGCCAGACCTCAGAATTTAAAAGTTCACAATCTGAGGTTTGTGATGGCTCTAAACCGATAGGTCCAAATCTGTGAACATTTTTCTAAGAAAGACAACTCATCACTGAATGTGGTGGCTTATGACTATAACCCCAGCCCTCAGCAGGCTGGGGCAGAAAGGGCTGTCTGAAAATTTGAGGACTCCCTGAACGACCAAGTTCCAGATCAGCCTGAGGTACAGAGTAAGTTGGTCTCGAAAACAAAAACAAAAAAAAAACCAAAAAAAAAAAAAAAATAAGTGCACAAAACTCTCAAGAAGCCCTGTCTTTGGGGCTGGGGTGTGCAGCACAGCTAGTGTTTGCTTAGCATGCATGGGACCCTGACTTGGTTTCCAGGACAAAAACAAAGCAAAACAAAAATCCCTATCATTGAAACATCATCTAAACTAACAGAGAACTGTAGGGTCTTTCTTAGTCAAGCATCTGAGAAGAGTATATACTGAGGCAGGCCCACAACCAAGAAGCTGTGTGTGCAACCAGCAGCTGCCCTACGTGAAGCCAGATTCTCCATCTTCAAAACTGGTGCTGGACACCCTTGATAAGGCCTTGATAGCTGGCTGTTGGGTCCTAGCTGGTGCCTGTCCCTACACTGAGCCAGGAGGTCACTACCCAAAGGAGTAATACCTACATCCATACTCCAGTTGAACCAGGCGCACACTCTTGGTAGAGGCAAACACATCTACCACAGCATAGAGAGGCTGGGTACACGGCAGCCCCCGGGCACTGGGGCCCATGTCTTCCCCATTGATAACAATGTGCATGTCGGCGGTCCCATCCTCACGCGGGCAGAAGAGAACACCCAGGCGGCTACGGCGCGCTGTAGGAGGCAGCACGTTTTGTTCATAGAGCTGGTCCAAGAGGTGGCTATAGAGTCCTGGCCGACTGCGGCCCACCAGGCGGTCCCGGGGTATTCGGAACTGCTCGATGCGCAGATAGGGTTCAACCAGGAGGGCTTGGGGTCGGCTGGGGGCCGCTGACTCTGCGTCTGCTTGACCCTCCCGGGGCACGCGGTTGTGGTGGCGTGTGATAGCGAAGACCCAGCTGTGGCCAAGGCTGACCAAGTCAGGCAGTGAAAACTCGGGCACGGCAGCCAGACTGGCCGGGTCCAAAGCCGTCAGGCCAAGACGCAGATGCCCGCACCAGCCCAGCTCTTTTTCCTCTATCTCCACTAGGAATACCTGGCCCGGGGCTAGGGGCTCTCGACTGAAGCACACACCGTGGGCGAAGCTCTCCACACGTGTGGCTCGCGTCCCCGACGGGTCCACGCGGATGTTGGCTCCGTGCACTTGATGGAAGCGGGTGGGAGGAGGCTCCTGGCGCGCCGGGGCCCGTGGACCACCCAACCCTACGGATTCGGAGGCACCAGCCATCTCCCCGCCATGAAACAAGCCAGCTCATGCCAAGGGCTATTTTGGGCCACGGGCTCAGATGGTGACCGCTGGGGGACCATGTAAGGCATTTCCCCCTTGCCTACCTAACCTCGGCTCCGCCCGGGGGTCCTAGCGCCGCTTTTTCGGCATCTCCCCAGTAACATGACCCCAGAAGCCTGGAAAACCTTGCTGCCAATACCAAGATCATCTGATCTCTGGCACCCTGGCTAATGATCCTCCGGGCTGTGTACTCTGAACTGGTAAGTGACCGCTCCGGACCATCGCGGGCCCGCAGACAAAAAAAAAAAAAAAAAAGTGAACATGAGCAAACTGCCACGTGATGCAGAAGTTCACGTGACTAGTACTACACATGACTTCCAGTCCACCGGCGCCTCCTGGAGAGCTAGGACGCAAGGAAGCAGGGGTAAGGAGATCCCCGGGCTGATGGGCAGCTACCGAGGCTCTACTGTCCGCGGGGAACTAGAACCCGGGTGGGGGCTTCCCCGGGAGAAGCTCGCCAGCTGCTCCCCAGTGACTGCTGCTGCACTGAAATGCAGATGACCTGGGGAGCTGGTAAACATCCTCTGCCGATGCTTCCTCTCTCAGATGATCCGAGCCGCGCTGTCCCCACTCCTCTTGCTACTGCTTGTGTCCTGGGCGTCCCGGGGCGAAGCAGCTCCAGACCAGGATGAAATCGATTGCCTCCCCGGCCTGGAGAAGCAGCCCGATTTCCAGCAGTACTCCGGCTACCTCAGAGCCTCGGATAACAAGCACTTCCATTACTGGTGTGCGGCCCTGCCTCCCTAGGAGAGTGTGATAACTGGGCGGGCGAATTCTAATGACCCCAGGCAGGACAGGTCTCTTACTTCCATCAATCCCTCCTTGTTTACCCTTCCTAGGTTTGTGCAGTCGCAGAAAGACCCAAAGAACAGCCCCGTAGTGCTTTGGCTCAACGGAGGTCCTGGCTGCAGCTCTCTAGATGGATTCCTCACAGAGCACGGCCCCTTCCTGGTGAGTTAACACCGGGTTCTCCCAGGCTGAGAGAAGGCAGGAGGCCTGGGGGAGGGGGGGGGAACCGGTGGCTTCCCAAGTTTGTTTTCCTTCTTAACACTCCCTTAATCCCAGCAGTCAGGGAGGCAGAGGCAGGTAGATCTCTTGAGTTCAAGGCCAGCCTGGTCTACAAAGCGAGTCCAGGACAGCCAGGGCTGTTACACAGACACCCTGTCTAAAAACAAAACCCCCACAATTCTGTTTTGTTTTGTTTTATCTGACCCTCGACCTAACTTTCTGTGCCTCTCAGAGAGTGTGGCAATATCTAAAGAGCCTAGCACTGTGACTCTTTCTCTCCACCCATCTGCCCACTGGAACTCACGCAGCAGTGTCTTCTCTCCCCAGATCCAGCCAGACGGTATCACCCTGAAGTATAACCCCTACTCCTGGAACCTGGTACACCTGCAGCTGTGGGTCTTGTGGGGGTCTGGGTACTTGAAAGAGTAAGGAACCCCCTTCTCATTCCCTGCCCACCCCCCACCCCCAGATCGCCAACATGCTGTATATCGAGTCCCCAGCGGGAGTGGGCTTTTCCTACTCGGATGACAAGACATATGTGACCAATGACACTGAGGTGAGTCTGGTGCCCACCTGCACCATTCTCCCTGTTTCCCCAAAGCTGGCACGATGAGGGGAGAGAGCATGGCCTCAGCGGTCACTTTTGGCTCTGTCATGTGCTCTGTAGTCGGCCCATAACAGTCACTTCCTCTTACACTAAATAAAGTGGGAGGGACTCCTTATCTCTGAATATGTTTCCAGTTTAAACGTCGCGCCTCCTGACTCCTCCATCTCACCATCCCCAGGTGGCTCAGAACAATTATGAAGCCCTTAAAGATTTCTTCCGCCTCTTTCCGGAGTACAAGGACAATAAACTTTTCCTGACTGGAGAGAGCTATGCTGGCATCTACATCCCCACCCTGGCTGTACTGGTCATGCAGGATCCCAGCATGAACCTTCAGGTACAAGGCAACTGCAGGAAGAAGGGAGACACCTTGAAGCCATGACCTTGGATTATTAGTAAGGTCAGCCTAGGAGCTCCTTCATAGCCTTCTAGTTGGCTGCTCTGTTAGCTTGCATTGCCTCCTACCACAGGAAGCTCACCTGCCAGGCTGACACATATGTCCTTTAGGTTGAATGACGTCCCCCACCCTCCCACCCCCACAATCCACTCTGGATTGCAGCTTCTAGATTGCAGGTCTGGGTATAGGTCAAGGGAGGGTCCCTCCTCGCCCTTCCGATGAACTGAGAACCCTGGGTGTTTCACAGGGGCTGGCTGTGGGCAATGGGCTCTCATCCTATGAGCAGAACGACAACTCCCTGGTCTATTTTGCCTACTACCATGGTCTTCTGGGGAACAGGTATGAGAGAGGGACGGTTGGGCAATATTTAGGGTGGGGCAAGTCACGAGATCTCAGATCTGTCCATTGGCACATGACATCCCTGCTCTGGGTTATGAGGAGGTAGGGTTGGCCAAAGGCTTTGATGCTTAAAGGCCAAGGACAGAGACCAAGATTTAAAGAAAGCAAGGAGCCTGGGATGGACACCCGTAAGCCAGCACTTAGAAACAGGCAGCTGAGCTACAAAGTGACTTTGGGACTTGAACCCAGACTGCTCACAAAAACCTGGTCTCGGTAACACTTTTATGTTCTTTTCGAAAAGGCCCCGAGGAGGGCTGTGCTGCCTGTGTGGACTAGGGGGCAGGAACTAGGAGTTGGGTTTGATCGCCTGGGGTCAGGGTCTGGTGAGAGCGATGAGAGGGAGCACCCTGCACTCCTTGGCGCCGTTGCCCCCCCTCAGCCTGAGCGCTCCCTGGTCTACAGGCTTTGGACTTTGCTCCAGACCCACTGCTGCTCTCAGAACAAGTGTAACTTCTATGACAACAGAGACCCAGGATGCGTAAACAACGTGAGCTTCAGCCCCTTTCTGTGTGTGTCAGCCCCTCCTCACGAGTCCTGAGATGAGGCTCACGCCTCTCCGTGGGAAACCCCAGCTCCAGTGCTCCTCTTTCTGGGAGAACTGGGGATTGAACCCAGGGCCTCACGCATGCAAGGCAAGCACCCTACCAACTGGGCTCTAGCGGCGGCTCACCCCACAGCCTTTCTGTCTCGTCTCTGTGAAATCCAGTGAGGAAGCTGAAGCCAAGGATGCTCAAGCCACTTGCCCCAAGTCACATGACAGGGACCAGCAGTGTTAGGGTTGGGACCCAGGTCTGGAAGATTACTTCCAGTGAGCTTTGGGCTCTCTCCCTGTGAAATAAAGTGGGTGAAGGGTGGTGACAGGAGATGAGTGAGGTAGGAGAGCAGTTATTCTTAGAGGGAATGGGTAAGGTCATGGAGGGCCATGGATCCAGAAAACATGATAGTATATCGTCACAGCTCCAGGAGGTATCTCGAATTGTGAGCAACTCTGGCCTCAACATATACAATCTCTACGCCCCGTGTGCTGGTGGGGTACCCGGCACTGATAGGTAGGTGCTGCTGCTTATGCTTTGGGGCTGCTGGTTATGCCTTGGGGCATTCCAACTGCCTCTAGAGGCCCAGCACCCATTTCCCCCCCCCCCCCAGATATGAAGACACCCTTGTGATCCATGATTTTGGTAACATCTTCACTCGCCTGCCACTCAAGCGGACATTTCATAAGGTTTGCAAGGGCGCGTATGGGCTTTCCCCGGGGGAGTAGGTGGGGCAGATAAGTAAAGGCCCTCACCCTGTGTCCGTGCCCCCAGGCACTGCTGCTGCGTTCTGGGGACAAGGTACGCATGGATCCCCCCTGCACCAACACCACAGCCCCCTCCACCTACCTCAACAACCCGTATGTTCGGAAGGCCCTCCACATTCCCGAGAAGCTGCCCCGCTGGGACATGTGCAAGTGAGCTTCTGTGGCCCCTCACAGTTCAGGAGGTGGCAACGGCAGGGTTCACAGGGCTCCTGCAGCTAGGGCTCCTCAGAGCGGGTGGTGTGGACATTCAGGGTGACAATTACTTGTGCAGGATGTTTAACGGCCTTGATCTCCATCTTGATTGACATTCAGTTAAACTTGGAAGTGGCCACACTGGTTAGTATCAGACCCTTTTCTGACATTTAGTGAGTAGACACTGTCCAAACTGCCACTCCATTGCCACCCAGAGCTGCTCAGTTCATTCTGTGACCCCTGCAAGTAAAAGGGTAACCCTAGCACATTGGAGCCTAGCAAAGTCTTTCCTCATTGGTCAGTGCCCATGCTCTGCTCTGTCATTACCTGCTGTTCCTTTCACACCTGCTGGTCCCCGCACACTAAATGCCAGCCATATCACAGCTTTAGTAACAACCAAAAAGTGCACCCACACATCTCCCAAGTTTGGGTGGGTTGAGAATGTCTGAATGCCAGCTCTGTTCAAATAAGTAAGTACAAGAGAGGTAAGATACCCAAAGTGGGAATTGGAAAGGTCCGACTGTTGACTGTCCCCTTCTGTTCCTGTTTTTTGTTTTGTTTTGCCATGTCCTGTGCACACGCTCCCGGCAGCCTTTTGGTGAACTTACAGTACCGCCGTCTCTATCAAAGCATGAACTCCCAGTACCTGAAGCTGCTCAGCTCACAGGTATGTGGGTGTAGCACAGCGGGCTCCAGCCAGGGCTTCCAAAGCTTTCCACCACTGTAGCTGTAGGCTCTAGAGCAACATGGCAGTCGGGTTCCTCTTTAGAGCTTGCCCCACCACGCCCCCACCACGCCCCGGTGGTTGTTATTCTGAGGGCTCTGCCTTGCTACATAGCATAGGCTAGCTTTGAACACAAACTCTCCGATACTGGGATTACAGGTGCGCCAACACACCTAGCTCTGGGAAAGTGTCGTGCATGCTCAACTATGGTTTCCCTGTCTGTAAAATGAGACTAATAAGCTGGGCGTCGTGACTCATACCTATAAGCCCAGCCTTGGGGAGACTGAGGAGAAACCTCAAGTTCTTAGCCAGTCTGAGCTCCATGATGAGACTGTCTCATTGGGGGGGGGGGAGGCATCTTCCTCCCTGTATAGTAAAAGCACCTGCTTGGTGTTTACTGTATAATATGCAATCGGAAAACATGAGGATTTCGGGTTCCTGTTATTAGCTGGGCTTCTGGCATCCCGGGAAGGTAGGGCTTGAGCCAGGGAAAGGGCTGAGGGCCCTTTCTATTTGCCCTTCTACTCCAGAAATACCAGATCCTACTATACAATGGCGATGTGGACATGGCCTGCAATTTCATGGGGGATGAGTGGTTTGTGGATTCCCTCAACCAGAAGGTAAGGTCGTGCTGGGCGGTAGGGGCTGGCGTGCCAGGAGTGGCTCTAAGCTGCAGAGGGCACACCTGGAGACGGCTCCAGTCCTGAGACACTGAGGGCAGCTGTGTGCGGGGATGGCGGGAGCCACTGGCTGATGTCTTTTCTCATGGGACAGATGGAGGTGCAGCGTCGGCCCTGGCTAGTGGACTACGGGGAAAGTGGAGAGCAGGTAGCCGGCTTCGTGAAGGAGTTCTCCCATATTACCTTCCTTACCATCAAGGTAGGACTCTGAGCCTAGCGAGGGACAGCTGAGGCCAAACGGACAATGGTGACCTCCCATCTTTACCCTCTGGCTTCTGTTTGTTCTGGGGCACCACTAGAGCATCAGGACAAGCTTCCAGGGTGAAGGGGGGGGGGGAAATAAAGGTCTTGGGTATAGACCAGGGGTGAAGGATCCACACCTCACAGAGCTTTGCTCCCCAGGGCGCTGGACACATGGTCCCCACGGACAAACCCCGAGCTGCCTTCACCATGTTCTCTCGTTTCCTAAACAAGGAGCCTTACTGAGGGGACCCATGGAAGTCCTCAGTACCTGATCCAGCCCCTCCCAGCCTCTCAGTGGAGAGAGATCCTACCTTATGCAGAGTGCCCCTGTGGGGCAGGTCCTGCTCTAACACTGTCCCTGACTTCTCACAGCCCTGTGCACCCCAGCCTGGGCCTTGGGCTTCACAGAGACAGCCTAGGGGCGATGAGTAATTTGTTCCCACGACAGTGCGGTCGGTGGCTTGACCTCCCCTCAACCTGCTTAATGAATGCTTCATCCCAGGACCCCAACAGAGCTCTAGGGCAGCCCAAGGAGAGGGGTGGATGGATTGTAATTGATGACTGACTGATTATGAAATTAAATTCAGTGTGGCTTCAAACCGAATTCTTCTCTGTGGCACTGGGGACACTACGGGCTGTGGATGGGAAGGGGGAGAGGCTGCTGCTGAGGACTGTGAATGTCCTGAATGCCAGCTGCCTGGGTGGGTCGAAGAACTCAGGCAGCTGCTGCAGAGGATAGAGGGTCACTGGAGTCCACAACATTGGTAGGACGGTTCTTTTCGATCACTTCTCGAAGCCCTTTGGCAAAGTGGAGGTCTGCCCCAACGGTGAGGAAGCCCTGGGAAGGGGACAGGGAATGTCACACATTCCTTCAGTCGTTTGGAGAACAAACACAAAAGGACTTGGCAAATCTCAGAGCCACCACCCCACCCCACCCCAGCTCCTTTGCAGTGTGACTCCTCTATATCTGGGCTTTGTTTCTGAATAAAATCCCTTGCTACTTAAATATATATATATGAAGGGGCTCCGGAGGGCAAGTAGCATTGGGGTGTGTCCTCCCGCCTACAGTCTACTTACTGCATGATTGGTCACCTCCTCACGCACAAAGTTGATGCCCTCGGGGAGGGGGATCTGCACCCCACGCCAGGTCCGCTCTGTGGGTGACAGAGTCAAGCTCAGCCGGGTCCCTGCAGCCTAGCCCCCTGCCCCTACACCCTCCTTCCTCACAGCCTCAGCCCCTACCATTGAGCATGGGCATCACTCCGATTTGTAGCAGCGTCTTCAATGGGGTCTGCAATGGGATCAGCTGGGGGAGAAAGACACAGCATCGCGTGGGTGGTGGGTTTGTGTGAGCTGCTACCCTGCCCCAAGGCCTGGACCCACCCACCACCATTCCCAGCTCACGGCTAGAGATTCCAGCGCAGACTGGTTGGAGTAGATCTGAAACCTGCAGGAGAGAAACAGACCCTGTGACCATGAAACCTGGGAACATCCTCTCCTTGGGCCCTAACTAAAAGATGTCCCCAAGTGTCAGCCTTCCAAGTCCCACCTAGTCATCTTTCCAGGTAGCTGCCATTCCCCAGACGTGCATCCCTAAGTGGCTCTTGCCTTTGGTGCCCCTTTCTTTCGACTTTTCATTTGCCAAGAATGCCAATGTGCCAGGTTTCTACCATTAGGTCAGTGAGTTTGGTTTGTTTTATCTAACAACATTCAACAATGTTTACTCCCTGTCAGGTAAGAAACTTATTCCAAAAATTAAAACAGAGCTGGCTGGCAAAATGGTTCAAGTGTGGGTAAGGGCTCCTGCCACCAAGCCTGACTGACTGAGCTTGACTGGGCACACATGGAAAAGGAAAGAAGGGACTTTCACAGGTAGTCCTTTGACCTCCACATGCACTCCACGGCAATGTGACTACCCACACAAGCCAGGTTGGTGGCCCACTCCTTTATCACCAGCACTCAGAAGGCAGGGGCAGGCAGATCTCTGTGAGTTTGAGGCCAGCCTAGTCTACATATTAAGACCTTGTCTCCAAAAAATAAAAAAAAATAAAAAATCGGCCAGCACTCAGGAGGAGGAGGCAGGCAGCTGTCTGAGTTTGAGGTCAGCCTGGTCTACAGTGAGTTCGAGGCCAGTCAGGGTTACAAACACTTTCTCAAGAAGGGGGAAGAAAAGAAGGAAGAGAGGAAGGAAGGAAAGAAAGAGAGAAAGAAAGGAAAGAAGGAAAAGGAGAAGACATTGAAATGCTGGGTTAAAGATGTAGAGCCCTTTCCTAGCATGTATAAAGCCCCATTCCATTCCCAATACCTCATAAATGTGTACATATATGCTGCTGGGGCATGTGTGTGTGTGTGTGTGCGTGTGTGTGTGTGTGTGCGCACGCACGTGCGTGTGTGTATGCTTGCATGGGTAAAGTGCACATGTGTGCAGGGGTGTGTATGGATATGTTCATGTATTGTTTGGAGACAGTCTCTCAATGGCCTGAAGCTCTGTGTCAGGCTAAGCGGTGTGAACAGTGAGCCCCAGGCACCTTCTGTGTCCGTCCCCCCCACCCCCCCACCCCCGTGCTGGGATTAGAAGCCATTGCCTCTAAATTTGGGTTTTTAGGTGGATTTTAAAACTCAAGCTCAAGTGGTGATATTTTGTTTGTGCTCTAACAGAGCTTGCCTGAAGATCAGAGAGTGATCTTTAACTCCAGCACTGGAGGGGTGGGGTGGGGTGGGGGGGGATGGAAGCAGGAAGATCTGAAGTTCAAGGCCACCCTGGGCTACATGAGATTTAACCAGTCTAAAAGAGAAACAGAGCTTGAAGGGTCCAGGAATATAGAAACATAAAAGTGTAATCCCAAATAACAGTGGCTAGCAGCCACAACACTTCAACAACCACTCTCTGCCTTAAGAGCAGACATCCTGGCAGCCACTGTGTACAGAGGGAAACTTCTAACAACAGTCTCCCACCTCCCAGCGTCCCAGCCAGGCAGGTGTGGCAGACAAAGGTTAGCTTGTCACTATTGTCTCTGCGGAACCCTCTGCTTTGTATTCCCTTAATGTTTAACTGTCCTCCTACGTGACTACTCTCTGCCTTGCATTCTTCCAGGGACAGTGAAAAGCGGCCGTATCAGGCACCGGCTTTCGCAAACATTCTGTTAACATCCTAACATCCTGTAACCAAAAGTTGTAAAACTTAAAATGTATGTGACTCCAAGCCTGACCTCCAGGTTGTAAAAGCTCTTTGACCCACACACCTGGTGCTTGATTTCACTCTAAGAGGCCCAAATCAGCCCCCACTGCCAGTTTCAGTAGCTCGAACTCTGGCTGTGGTCCCAGTTAACTGGTAGGTTTGCCTCTGGTTTCATAGACTTCAGTGGTCCGTCACCCGTCATTTGCGTACCCCGGACCCAACAGCTCACATCTTTGATCCCAGCACTAGGGAGGTGGAGACAGAGAAAGGAATACAAGGCAGGAGACAGGAGCTCAACCCTTTTCAGTCTGAGGATTTTGTAGAGGTAAGAACTTGAGTTGCTGACCCCTTTACTTCTCTGATCTTTCAGCTCTCACCCGCTAATACCTGACTTGGGGTTTTTATTATTAAGACCAATTAAGTTCGTGCTACACACAGGCCCTCATCCTTGAACTCACTCAGCAGAGCTATCTCTCCAGGCCTTGAGATTTTTGTTGTTGTTGTCGGTGATGTTTGAGACAGGATCTTGCTATGTAGGTTACCCTTGGCTGGCCTCAAACTCACTGCAATTTTCCTACCTCGGCCTCCCTGGTGCTAGAATGACCAGGCCAGGCTGCAACACTGTAAAACGAAGCGTGACTCAGTTCTCATTCACAGCCCTAAGAATCTGGGACTATTACAAATTGTCTGTCACTGATGAGGAAACTGGAGCTGGAGAGGTGACGGGAGCTGCCTGACATCATTGGCTGTGTGGACTGGACCCTGCCTCCATATTCCAAGGCCCTGTACTGTCGCGGTCCAGCCTCCGAGTAGCACTGTCCTTTCTCAGCACTGACTACTTGCTGTGTAGCCACTAGTTAATGAACTGTGACCAGCAGCCTAAGTGCTGTTTAATTAGAACTATAAAAGCAGAGAGTCGCTCATGGCCAGGGGCAACTACACTTGATACCCAGCCTGAGAGAGTAGATGATGTTTTTCACCTGTGCTTAGCGCAGGAGGAAATGGGCCCTGGGAAGATAGAATGACTTGCTTTGAGGTCATGACTGCACCAAGTCAAGGTTGATGTCCAAACCAGTGTTTCCATCCTCGTTGCTGTGTGACTGCGGGTGTGTCATTTAGCCTTCCCAAACCAATGTGCTGGTCTGTTAATAAATAATAACCTGCTCTGCCTGCTTCCACATGCTGGGAGAATTCAGGAGTTGCTTTAAGAAACTACTGTTAGCCAGGAGTGGTGACACATGCCTGCCTATAATCCCAGGCTTAGGAAGCAAGTCTCTTTGACTTTGAGGACAGCCTTGTATATACACACACCAAGTGCCAGTCCACCTAATGCTGCATACTGAGACCCTGTCTCAACAGAAAGATAAAAAAGGTAAGATGAGTACTTTGGGGATTGGGGAGATGTAGTTCAGCTGGTATAGCGTTGGTATCTGGCATGCACCAGGCCCTGGGTTCAGTTCCTGAGCACTGCATAAACAGAACATGGTGGTGTGTACCTGTGATCCCAGCGCTCTGGAGATAGAAGCAGGATCATCTTTGGCTGCACAGTAAGATAGATTTTGGATGTATGGGTGTGGGCATGTGGGTACATGGCATGCATACGGAGGTCAGAAGACAACCTCCCCCCCACAGTCTTTCCTAGGCCAGGCTAGCTGTCACTCCCAAGGATCCACCCATGTCCGGTCATCATCACTGGAATAAAGACATGTACTATCACGTTCGGCTTTTCCCAGGCCTTCTAGGGATTCAAACTCAGGGGCCTTGTGCTGATAAGGAAAGAACTTTACCAACTGAACTATCTCTGCATCCTTGAGTTAAAATATTCTTTCTTTAACGATGTATTTACTTTTATTTTGTGTGCCCTGCTGTTTTCCCTGCATGTATGTATGTGAAGGTGCCCAATCGCCTAGAATCGGAGCTACAGACAGTTGTGAGCTGCCATGTGGGTGCTGGGAATTGAACCTGGGGTCTCTGGTAGATCAGCCAGTGCTCCTAACCACTGAGTCATCTCTCCAGGCACAAGCTAAAATCTTCTTTATTAATGAATACATTCATTCATTCATTCATTCAGAGACAGGTCTCACTATGTAGCTCTGGCTAGCCTGGAACTCACTACTCACTGTGTAGACTACAGCGACCTTAAACTCACAGAGGCCCACCTGCCTATGTTGAGTATTTAAAGGCCTGCCTATGCCATAACTCCAGGCTGGAGTTTGTTTTGTTTGTACTAACAAAGACAGACCCCAGCTTGTTGGAGGCTTACAAGAATAGCTTGGTTCTAGCCCCATGGCTCTGCTGGGCAGATGTCGCTACCTTGGAGATAGCTCAGAAGCTAAGTGCCCACCCAGAATCCTTATCCACTGCGTACCTGCGAAGGTCCAGCTTTATTCTCAGCGCCTTGCCCCGGAGTGTCATCTTAGCGCTGAGACGCCCTTCCTGAGGGAAAGCGTGTGGAGACATTACGGACTGGAAAGGTTTCCCAGGCCACTTCTCACGGACCCCCAGGTACCCTCACCCTGGGGCCCGTACCATGATCATCTTGGATAGCTCGACTTCAGGCAGCATGGGTGGAGCCAAGGCGATGGTGACACTGGCAGTGACAGAGATGGTGGTGCCCGAGGGCTTGATGGTACATCGTGGAGGGCTCACAGCCTGCAGCTTCAGCTTCAGGGGTGAGTTAATCACTGTAGGACTCTGGAAACAGAGGAAGGAAAGCTCGTCACAATCCCAAACTGGTTCCTGGCGAGCACCGGGGCTGCTGTTGGGGGACAAAGCCTCAGGCTTTTTGGAGGCAAGGGATGGCAAACACAGACCAATGTGACAATGCCCCCACGCCATTCTGACCTGCACCCAGCCCCCATGAGTTGGTCAAAGTAGTGTCCGTCCTTCTTTCTCTTTTGGGATGGTCTCTAGCTATGTATGTTGCCAGGCTGGTCTTGAAACCCTGGACTCCAGAGTTCCTCTGGCTCAGCCTTCAAGTGCTGAAATTACAGCATGCACCCCACACCTGGCTCCCCCTCCTCCCTCCTCAGTATTTAATCTAGACTCAAACCCCCAGTTGAGACTCCCCAGGGATGACTTTTTTGCTTAAACCTCCCAGCTCCTGCGTCCTCATCTCTGAGCTGCTCTACAGGCCACGTAATACTATTAAATGCTCACACATACTCATTACCAAACAGGATGCTGAGCCAGGTGTAGTAGCAAAACCTGTAATCCCAGTCTTTGGGAGGCAGAGTCAGGAGGAAAGGGCATTCTCATATTCTCATGTATACGTGTGTGTGTGCGCGCGCGCGCGTGTGTGTGTACTGAGGCCAGCCTGGGCTACATGAGATCCAGTCTCAAAAACAAACATTCCCTTAAGCATAATAATTCTGACCACAACCAAGTGAGCCAGGCACTATTACCCTCATATGTATATGTGGGTGCGTGTGAGCATGTGTAAATGTGTTATAAGGTCAGCTTAGGTGTCTTTATCATTTCCAATCTTTTTTTTTTTTTTTGAGACAGGGCCGCTCACTGGACCAGGAGCTCACTGACTGAGCTTGATTGGCAGGCCGGCAGGCCCCACAGATCCTCCTGTCTTGTCCCCAGAGCTGTGACAGCTGCCGCACCCAGCTTTTATTTTAGCATGGGTGCTGGGGATCCAAGGTTGGGTCCTCATGTGACTAAGACAAGCACTTTACTCACTGAACCATTCCCCCAGGGAGCTGGAGCAGACAGACAATAAGCTTGTGCAAGGTTGTGTGGGTATTCAGCTACAGAGCTGACACATGCAAGCAGCGTGAACACAGTCACGCGTTTAACTACTCCGCCATTGCACTGACAACGACGACGATGACGACAGTAACAACAGAGCCATTTCACTGAACCCCATAGCAGGTGCTGTTCTGGTCACGTGGGTTACTTCACTGAAAACTCACGACACGCTCACAAGGTTGTGTGTGTGTAGAGGAGGCCGGCATGACCTGGAGTCACACAGACTCAAATGCTGTCACTTATAAAATTGTAGGTCTGTATGTCACATGCACACAGTGCCCTCAGACACCAGAAGAGGGCACTAGGGCCTCTTGAATTAGAGTTCCAGACAGTTAGCTACTGTGTGGGTGTGCTGGAAACCAAACCCTGGGTTCAGAGCAAGTGCTCTGAACCACTGAGCCACCTCTCCAGTCCCATGGAGTATATATATACATACAAAATGTTTGTATATGGGGCTAGAACTCAGAGGTTCAGGCATACTAGGCAAGAATTCTACTAACTGAACTATATCTCAAACCCATTTGCATTTATTGATTGATTGGTTGGTCAGTTTTTCAAAACAGGGTTTCTCTAAGTAAAAGCCCTAGCTGTCCTGGAACTTGCTTTATAGAGCAGGCTGACCTGGAACTCAGATCCACCTGCCTTTGCCTCCCATGTGCAGGGACTAAAGGCGTGCACCACCACAGCTGGCTCAAACCCCTGTTTTAAAATGTTTTAATTCCCACTCTCTTCCCCATTAAGTAAAGCTAAGTAAAATGTTGGTGACCACACTTGGAAGGCCTGGGTTCTCTCCCAACCTCACAGCTGCTCTGTAAAGGCAATAGGGCAGGAAGTGCCAACCCTGCTTCACAGAGAGGGATACTTGGCCACAGACAAAAGAGCAGGCCTTCTGTGCCCTCTTTAGCCACCACAGGAGATCTCCAACCGTACACCCCACCTACTACCTCACTGTCTGTAGGAGGAGTGACCTCCGACCCCAGCCACACCCCTGCCAATACTCACCAGGAGAACAATGCTCCCAAAGTAGGTGGCCCTCAGAAGCATGTCCAGGTCACTTGGCACCTGAACAGGAGAATCAGGAATGAGACAGGATCATTGGCCTCACCACCATGGGCCCTTCTTACCCAGCCTGGGACAAGCCTGATATACCTTGTCCCCCATAAGTGTCAGCTGCAGGGCTCCAGCTTTGAAGTAGCTCTCCATGGCAGAGTCAAAGAAGAACTCAGAGAAGGCCACGTACACCATCCGCTCCTGTTCCTCCAATTGTGGCTCCACAGCCCTGTTGATGAGGCTCCAACTCCCCTCAGTCAGGGGGAAGAATGTACCCTGGGGTTGGGAGTTCAGGGTCAGGTCAAGGCAGATTGGAGTTGTGCCAGGCATAGTCAGGAGCCACGGACACCTGGGCTCTGTGTCTATCGTGGAGGGGCAGGGTGCTTGGGGACACATCTTAAAAAGCACCGCAAAGAGGCTAGGGGGCCAGGAGGAGTGTGGCTGGGAGCACACGAAGCAAGGCCTGGGGCATGTACTGCTCTCCCAGACGACTGGGGTTCAATTCCCAGCACCCACATAGTCGTGCCACAGTCTGCCAGTTCCAGGGAATCTGGGTCCCTCTTCTGTCCTCCACCGGTACTGCACACACACACTGCTGCACTTACACACAAGCAGGCAAAGCATTTAAACAAATTAGCCCAGAAAGTCAGAAAGAAGCAAAGAGACAAGCCAAGAAAAGAAAGCCAGAGAGGACTGAGAAAAATAACAGTGCAAGGGAGGGATCGGAGTGGCCTTGGGTACCGGGCAGCAATAATCACAGCCGCATCTACATATCCATCGTGGCCGCCCAACTCCAGGTTCTCAGTGGCCCCCTCTACTTAAGTCACTTTGAGATGTGGTCTTGCTATTGTAGCCCTGGTTGGGCTCAACTTCATGGCAATCCTCCTTCAGACTGTCTAACAGAAGCCTCCTTTGGTCTACATGGCATCTCATCTCACTCTGTTCTGTGCTCATATTAGGAAACAGGCACAGATGCTGCCCGCCAGGGGTGGGATGAGGATTTGAGCTGCAGAGTCTTTGGAACAGTCTGCTGTGGACCACAAGAAGGAGCAGAGATGGTCACATACCAACTGCTGACCCTGGGCCAGTCTTCACGCCTGTCAAATGAACACAGCCCTATTTACTGGGACCTATTCCTGCCCAATAGAGCCCTGCCTTCTCTGCCTCCCCCTATGATAAAATACTTAAAAACTTATGGAAGTCACTCCCAGTGGTCCATGCATTTTACTCTTCAAATTTGTGAGATAAGAACCTGAAAGCTGTCAGACATGGTGAGGCACGCCTTTAATTCCAGAACTCAGGAGGCAGAGGCAGGCCCGCCTGGGCTACACAGTCTAAAAAAAAAAAACAAACTTGAAACCTGCTGGCTCAGGGTGGCTTTGGTGGCTGTCCAGTTTCTTCTACTCCCCCCCCCTTGGGCAAAAGGAAAGGCCTCCATCAAATCCAAAGACACCCCAGTAATCCCCGTGTCCTGATGATTTCCTGACCAGGAACCGAAAGGAGAATCCACAGGGGAGGGATTTTACATTGTTATCCCAGCCTTCCCAGCTGTTTAAAAGGCTGGAAGGCAGAGCCTGGATTCATCACTCTCCAGTAAAGCCTTGAAGGCCAGAGGAAAAAAAGTCCTCGGAGTCAGTCATGGTTGGACGCTGGATGCTGTCTGAGCCTGTTAAGGATGATAATGGGTTTTGATTCAGATTTTTTTTTTGTTTGTTTGTTTGTTTTTCAAGACAGGGCTTCTCTGTATTGATTTGGAGTCTTTCCTGGAACTAGCTCTGTAGACCAGGTTGGCCTCGAACTCAAAGATCCACCTGCCTCTGCCTCCCAAGTGCTGGAATTAAAGGCATGCACCACCATCTCCAGGCTGACTTTTTTTTTTTTAATTCAGTTTTTAGGATGCCCTGCTTTTCAGCCTGCCCTGGTCCTCTGCCTGAGGCTTGTAATTCTGAGCTATACAAACTCCTGCCTGTTCCTACTAGAAGGGGATTGTTTCCTTCACACAAGGGCCCCTGGTTCATTTCTCCCCAATCCACTCTTGTTTTGACTCCCCCATCACATCACTATCTAGGCACCAGTCAAGGACCCTCACTTACCCGTTTGTTAAACAAACGGAGCTAGAATGAACTAACTCTCAGGGTCCCTTAGGTAGGGCCCACTGGAGGGGTACACCAAATGCCACACCTAATAGTCCACTCAGCTCAAAGAAGTCAGAATAATAGCTACCCAAATTCCCTAAAGGCAGTTAAGGCTCCCTCTTGGGGTGGAGGGGATGAGAACAGGAGGTAGGAACAAGCCCAAGTAAGGCAGGAGCCAAAAGCGGCCATTGTGAAATTGTCCTGGCTGGAGGCAAGATGCCAGGAGAGGGCTCTGCTCCCGGCTTCAGCAGTTTTAGGTTATCGGTCACTCCTGCCTCGAAGCGATACCTGAAGCTGTAGCTAAAGATGTGACTGAAAGCCTGAAAGCAAGGAGTCACCTGGATACTGCGAGTGGGCCAACCGGACTGACCAGCTCATCCCCCTCCACATAACCTCATCCCTATAAAAAGGCTCCAGACTAGCAGCTAAGTGGTACCCTACCTCCAGGGACCCCTCGAGTTATCCAGGAACACTTTAATCTTTCTCTTAAGTTCTCTGTAATAAAATACTTATTTCTAAAACTAAAAAAAAAAAATGGTTTTAGTAATATAGCTGAAATTTCACACACACAAATTCAGCAGTTGGGGGCTGGGGAGAGGGCTCAGTGGTTAAGAGCCCCGGAGGGTGTGGGCTAAATTCTCAGCAACCACACGGTACCTCACAGCTGTCTGTAGGTCCAGGCCTAGGGTATCTAACACCCTCTTCACACATGCAATGAACATACAGACAGACAGACAAAACCACTTATGCACAGAAAAAATTTATAAAATCTTAAAAAAAAAAAAAAAAAAAAAAAAGCACTGTTGCTAGGTGTGGTGGCACTCACCTTTAATCCCAGTGCTCGGGAGGCAGAGGAAGAAGAAGCTCTGTGAGTTCGAAGCCAGCCTGGTCTACAAAGCTAGTCCTAGTACAGTACAGCCAGGGCTGTTACACAGAGAAACCCTGTCTCAAACAAACAAACAGCATTGTCAGGCTGGCAAGACAGCTCCCTGGATAAGGGAGCTTGCCAGCAGTCCTGAGGACCTAGGTTTGATCCCCAGGACCCCAGGTGAAAGGAGAGAACCAATCCGAGTTGTCCTCTGCCCTCCACATGTGTGTCATAACATGTGTTTGCACACACACACTATTTTATCTATCAATGGATGTTTGCAGGCTGTATGTCACACAAATGTGACACCATTTTACATGGTGAAATTGAACATCTTCAGCTCATGGTACCCATGGAGGGCTTGGACTCAGTCCCCTGGAAAACAAGACTGTTGGCACCTGATTGACAGGTTGAGAGAGGCAGGGGATGGGCAGGGCATAAGCAAGTTCCCTCAAGTAAGGACCTTTGCAGGTCACAGCTGGACAGGAGGAGCTGTGGTGGGTGATAGCTTGCTTGCATAAATAAGGCCTGTCTGTAGGTCAGAGAACGGAGCTTGCCACTAGCTAACCATAGAGGTCTGGAGGTTTGTACAGACAGACAGGAAGTGAGATGGCTGGGCAGAAACAGGGAGAAGCAGGAACTTGCTCTCTTGTCTGCTGAGATGCTAGAGAGGTAAATTGTAGCTGTGGCTTACTCTCTGATCTCAGCATTTTCCTCTATATCTGACTCCAGGTTTTTATTACCTAGACCAATTAAGAACTCCATTTATAAGGAGCTGCAGAGACTCAGGATGAAGTTAGAAAGGCAGGGCTTGAACCCATGCCTGCAGCAGCAGCAGCAGGAAGCCACACAGTCAGCCCTGAAGAACCCAGCTTACCCACAGAGAGAAGGGAAGCTGGTTGGCGGTCAGAGGCCACAAACAACCAACGCAGACAGCTCACCCGGAATTCCATATCCAGGTTGCCATTGGAGACCACAGGATCCTTCAAGAGGGAATAGTCGATGCCAACAAGGTCATCCACAGGACTACGCACTGCAGAAAGGGGCTCGAGTCACTCCAAACTTGGTGACGTTGGGTCTGGTGCTTAACTTCTGTCTTTCATTCATAAACAGTGACACTCACCCCTCACAGGGTTCTTAGTCATTCATAACAACAGTGACACTCTCTCCTCACAGGGTTTTTCTGAAGATCAGATTGGCTTTAAGTAGAAAGTTCTTAGACCTAGTGTGGTATACTTGCTCAGTAATGAAGCTATTGTTAATTAGTTCCTCCTCCTACTGTGACTACTGGGAAGGCTTTATCAAATAGCTAAGCAAGGTGGAAAAGGAGGGGCCGGTGAAAAGGCTCATCAGGTTAAGGAGCTTGTCTCCAAAGCCTGGCAACCTGAGTTCAATCCCCAGAACCAGTACAAAGGCAGGAGACAATCAACTCCACAGTGTTGTTCTCTGACCTCCACACATACACCATGACATGGGCACACACACACACACTAATAATGATGTTGTTTTAAAATGTTTGAGGTGGAAAAAGAGTCGTTTCCCCTGCCTTCCTTTTCAATGCATTTTATCCAATGGGCCTGAGGGAACAAAATCACTGATCCAAAGTAGACAGACACAGTGGCTTAGGAAGAAGAGTTATGTTAACTGAACACCCATGAGATGCTCGCTGATGGAGACAAATGGGGGCTTATGATCAGCAAACACAGGCTAAAGTCCTTGACAACCCTTAGGGGAGACCCTGCCAGCCAAATGAGGAGACCAAAGCCCAGAGAGGTTTTCCTAGCTAAGGTCAGACACCGGGTCAGTGACACACTTGAACCCAGAACTGTTCCATGGCTAGACTTGGAAGGAGCCTGTATGACAGCAGCATGCCACTTCCTTCAGGTCCAGGCCTGGGTCAGGTCTCCTGACCTCACCAGCACTGACTCACCGGGCACTGTGTCCAGGAGAGAGCTGAGCAGCACTGTCCCAGCGTGGTGGAGCACAGGGCAGATCTGGGGACAGGGCCAGAGTCAGAGCTTCTCAGAGCCAGGCCACCCCTACTTTGCTACCCAGGTCCACCATCAGCCACACCTGTTGGTTGAGGAGGAACCGCATCCCCGAAGTGATGAACGTGGAGAAGAAGTTATATATCCCCCTGCAAGGAGAGGAGAGCCTGGGTTAGCCCAGCCCTTGCCACGACCACAAGCCAGACCCAGTAAAAATGACAGTGCCCAAAAGAATGGTCACAACAAAGACTCCTTAGTTCCAGCCAGCTCTATAGTACTCTCCAGGATCCAAGCCCAGCCCCTCTCCAGCTTGACCCTCAAGGCTCCCTCCCCTGCCATGTGCCTCACATCCTCATAGCTGCTCAGGGACCACCACATCTAATCCGTACACTCCTGATGCCCTCTCCAGCGTTTCCTGCCCTGTGGCCTCCTGACAAGACTCAGAGGCCTCCTCTTCCAGGCAGTCTTCTCAGACTGCCCTCCATGGAAATCCCTCCACCCTGAATACTCTCTTGGTCCCACTTCCTGGGTCCTCCTGACAACCATTTAAATCCTTCTAGCTGGACTCTAGACTTTGTTCTAGATCTTCAAGGCCTGGGACACACTACGCTTGCTGAACAAAAAAATAAATCTGACAGTGTGGGACACCAGACAATAGATCTATCATGTTTCCCCTCAAAACTCCAACACCAAGGACCCAGGATTTCCAGTATGCCACTTTTTGTTATTATCATTGAGAATGTAGTACAGGCCCAATCCTGTACACAGTGTCAGGGTGTTCTGGGCTTTGTTTGACACAAGTTCTCACTTTGTGGCCCTAACTGGCCTAGAACTCAAGACATAGTCCAGGCTGGCCTCGAACTCACAGAGTGCTTCCTGCCTCTGACTCCCAAGTGCTGGAATTAAAGGTGTGTGCCACCATGTCTGGCTCCAGTTAAATTCAGGTGCTGGGGATTGAACCCATGACCTTGTGAATGCTATTCTGGCATTCTACCACTGAGTCTACCACTCCAGCCCCCAGTGTACTAATCCTAACAACTACTTTTAATCTTATTATATGCCAGGGACTGTATCTGATGAGACAGTGTCCATGATGATCTGGTAAATTAGATTCTATTCTCCTCCCCGTCTTCCTGAAGAAGTTGAGGCACTGAGCTTCAGCGACTTGCCAGAGTTCACACAGCCAGGGAGTGAGAGGACTAGGATTTGGACACATGCCGTGGGATTCCCAAGCTTAGCACTTGTCCTTTTCTGCTCTGGGAAATTATACTGCAGGGCTCAGAAGACGTGCACCGGGGCCGGGACTTACTTGAAGGTTCCCCCGAAGGCCATATTCATCCTAGAGACAGAGGCATCACAGGAGACATTGGACACTTTAATCCGACCGTTGGGATCTTGGGAGAGCTGCAGACCTGTGCGGATGGACACACCCTCGGCCGAGGCATTGATGTAGCCCCCATCATAGCTGCCAAAGGGAGGAGGGGTTCGAGTTCTCTCCAGTGAGAGATAACTGAGTGTCACTACCCTCTGTTTACCACACACAACAGGATACAAAATGTTTGTGACCACATGCATCCCCATTGCCCGCTCATCCTCCTCCACGCCTCCATGCCTGAACCCCTCTCCCCAACATGGCCCGCCCTTACTTTCAGGACTATTTTTTTTTTATGGTCTAATAAGTTTAATTAGTGTTGTTTGTATAAGCATGGATGTCGAGTTACTAAGCAGAGTATGCGCAACATACCAGCATCTACAACACTTTAAGAAAAATGACTCCCACCTCTCTCACTGAGAAACTGAAACCTGGAAGGCTAGTAGATACTGGACCGTAGCCACTAGCCCCACCCCTAATCATGGGGGGAGTCTCACAAGAACCAGTAGAGAAGCTGCCTCCGGAAGTTCAGCCCCAAGGATGCGTTGGAAATGTGCAGCAACAACTCCTGGTCAGGCTGGAAGTGGAGCTCCGAGGATATCAGCTGCAACTGTGTAACCTTCACACTGTAGAGGGCAGGGTTAGGGTGGGTCCAGGGCCAAGGGGAGTGGACTTATCCAACCACCCACGGGGACCTTATCCCTTGTCTTCTAGCTATAGGCTGGGGGAGCTGGGTGGGTGGGATGGAGTTTTCCTTTGTCCCCTAAGAGCCCAACCTGGATTAGGTAACTCAGAGATCTGCTCTCTAGATCCAGGGTTAAAAATGGCCTTCCTCTCTTCTTATGTACAATGTTTAAAAGACAGCGAGTCACCAGGAGTGGTGGCGCCCATCTTTAACCCCAGCACTTGGGAGGCAGAGGTAGGCAATCTCTGAGTTTGAAGCCAGCCTGGTCTATGGAGTAAGTTCCAAGATTGCCAGGGGTACACAGAGAAACCCTGTCTTGAAACAAAAGACTGGGAGTCTCCATTTGTTACTCAGACTCTTCTTGAATTTGTGAGCCCAAGTGATCCTTTCACGGGAATTACATATATATTTATATTATATTACACACACACACACACACACACACGATTTGGTTTTTTTAAAAAGGCAGGCATAGTGTCACATGCCTTTAATCCCAACACTCAGAAGGCAGAAGTAGACCAGCCAATGTAGGTTGAAGGCCAGTCTGGTTTATAGAGTGAATTCCTAACCGGTCAGGGCTGCATAATAAGATCCTGTCTCAAAAATAAAGAAATAAGGGAGATGCTTCAGCAATTAAGAGCACTGGCTACTCTTCCAGAGGACCGGAAATTAATTCCTAGCACCCACATGGCAGCTCAGGATTGTGTAACTCCAGTTCCAGAGAATCCAACACAGACATGAATGCAGACAAACCACCAATGCACATAAAATAGTTAAACCTTAAAAGATAAGTAAAAATGAAAAGATCTATATAGTCTTGTTGCTTGCACCTCATCCTCTGTCCAAACTGTGATTGCTAGATCTGTTTTTGTTGTGTTTTGTTTTGTTTTGAGATAGGGTTTCTCGGAGTAGTCGCTCTATGGTCCAGGTTGGCTGGAACTCCGGGATCCTTCGGGCTCTAGCTTTCAGAGTGCTGGGGTTAAAGGTGTTTACCTCCACCACCCGACCTTGTTTTAATTTTTTAAAGCCCAATTTGGCCTTTAACTTGCGATCCTGCGCCAGCAGCCCCTCCCCGCGCAAAGCCCAGATCACAGACATTTGCCAGACTCAGCTTTCCACCTGGTCCATCACTTTAACTCACTGCACATCACAGCTCTTCCCATCTCTCCCATCCTAAACTTCCTCCCTTTTAGCGCCACCCTACGCCTAGACTCCACACTCATCCATTGGTAAATTCTTCCAACGCACCTCCCCACTGTCCTTTCGTCCAAGCTTCAATTCTCCTGGTTCGAATTCCCTTTTCTTGGGTCCGCCAACCTCCATCCATTACCTGGTAGCCCCACCGGTCCCACCCTGTCTATTGGCCACGCCCCGACCTGCCTAGATCCCAGGGGTCTCCCAGCTCATCCCACCCACCTTTGATGTCCCTCCGCCAGGCCGTACTTACTCGGAGATGTTGTAGTAGAAGTGGCCCTTTTTGCCTATCAGGTCCGGGATGGTAATGGTCTCCAGCTCTTGCTCCAGAAAGCGCAGGCCCTCCTGCTTCACTGAGGTAGCACGGAGACCCTCAGCTCCCGCGCCCGCAGCCCGAGCGCCCCACCCGGACCACGCCACCCGCCGCCCGCCTTACCCAGCTCCAACGCCGCGGAGGTGATGCGGATCTTGCATCCCGGGAGCTCGGCATGAGCACCTGCCAGGAGCGCTAAGAAGAGGGCCGGGAGCAGGGCCATGGTGACCAGGCCTGGGGGGGGGGGGCAAGGTGAAGTCGCAGGTGTCATCTGGGCGGCTCAAAACCACTCCTTGGACGTGCAACTAGAACCGGGTGCTGGCCCGAACCGTTACTCTCCATAAAACTGTTCCGGGCACTCGAAACTAATAATCTTGTCTCCATTTGCTAGATGCAGAAACCGAGGCTCCGAAGCGCAATGCGACTTGCGCTCTGCCTCCAGAGGATTTAGGGCTTAGTTCCCTCGTGTGACCTCCGCGTGGCGTGTTTGAACCTCAGCAGGATGAACAACTCCCCATCCCCCCACCACCACTTTCCCTTTTCCTTCAGAGGAGGGCGTGTGCTGACTTGTTTGTTGGTATGGCAACCACCACACGCGCATTCCTGCTGGGTGGCTTGCGGTCTCCCAGGCCGCGCTCAGGGGTGGCTCGCCTGACCGCTGTCTCCTGGGTTTCCCGGCTACCCCGGCTACCCCAGGTCCTAAATCTCTCCCATCAGGCATTCGGCCTGGTGTCCCATCCTAATGCCCTCCTTCATCCGCCCTCCTCCACCTGGGTTCGGTGGGCCACGCAGCTCAGGAGGGTCTAGGGGTACGATGGGGATGCACCCCAACTCACTTAGTGTTGGACCTGGGGGACGGCGCGGTCACGCGGGATGGCAGACAGTGCAAGGGATCCGGGCGGCGGGGTCTGGCGGGCAGCGCGGGTCCAGCAGCCTTTATAAGCATGGGCCTCCGACCCCCCTCCTCTCTGCTGTTCTCCCCTCCTCCTTAGGGGCTGGGAGGGGACGGGGCGGGACGCTAACAGCCCTGAGGGTGGATAGGGCAGTACCGAGCCTGTGACAAGCCTGGCTGCTGTCTGGACAAGTGGGGGGACTTGCTTCTAAAAGAGCGAGAAAAGTGCAGAAGGCGACTTGCCAAGCAAGCCACAGCTGTCAAATTCCAATCACCTGAGCCCTTTCCTGCACGCTCTTCAGTAAATCCCTTCACTTTACTCCGAGCTCCAGTTTCCTCATCCAGCACAGAATCATTACCGGGGGGAACTCCCGTTTCGGCAGGCATCCATGCGAGGCCCCGCGTCTATTTTCCCTTTCCTTTCCTTCAGAGCCATCTCCTTGCTGGTTTTGTTATGGGACCTCAATCTACCAGAGAATTTTAGGGTCCTGGGACCTTCTCTTGGGGAAGCAAGTTCTAACAAGTATTTTAAGCCCCCGGAAGGACACCACAGGGCAACTAGAATCACCCCAAAAGGAGGCTTGTCCTTCCTGGGGCACTGTGAATTCTTTAGTGAACCCTTGAGGCTGGCTGACTCACACAGTACCCCTGTACTCCATGCTCCGCTCACCGAGGTGACGATAGAGAGGAGATGCTGGCTACCTTTTTATAGCCTTGTGGACAGCGAAAGAGAAAGAGGGAACTGCTCATGATGCTTCCTGAGCATGTACTTCAACACTCAGCTGACCAAGGAGAGTAGTCTTGTTTTGTCCAGAAGCTTCATGGACTCAGAACTGTGCATGGGGATCCACTCACTCTCAGGCAAACCAGAATGGCTAATCACCCTAGATCTGGTTTTACCTTCTTATAGTTTCAGAGGCTGGCTCTCTGAGGAATTCTCTCTGGCAGGAAACTGGAGGTTGAACCAAATTCTGTGACTGTTACTGGAGAATTCAGGAACTGTTTGTAAACAGTGGGAGGTGAGTTAGAAAGCCCAAGAAGAAGCCTAGACTCTTCTGTCTGAGGGACCAGTGTTTGCATCCTAGGATGTCAATCCTTAGAACCCTTATTTAACCACTAACATTATTTTCTCCTCCTAAAATGGCAACAATTAACGGAGTTTAGAGAGGAGGACTGTTCTTTGGTTTTTGAGACAGGTTCTCATGTAGCCCAGGCTGGCCCTGAAATCTCTATGTAACTAAGGATGGCCTGCCTCCTTTTCCAGAGTGCTAGGATCCCAGATTACATAACATTCCTGGTCTGTGTGGTTCTGGGATCGTACACACAGAGCCTTGTGCATACTAGGCAAAACGCTACCAAGTAAACCACATCCCCAAACTTAATAGAAGGTTATTGTAAAGATAAAAGGATCTATTGCAAGTGGTGGGCACAACCTGCACCATACTATTAGCAATGCCATTATGTTGAAAGGCATGAGTGAGCCCAGCAGAGAACAGAGTGTGAAGGCCATCCAGATGACTACAGGTCTGCGTGGCTTTGAGATCAAGAGAGTAGTCTTCCTGGATTCTGACTCAAGACACCAACCTGGGGTCTGGAAAGATGGCTCAAAGGTTAAGCACCTACTGGGCGCTTAAAGAGGACCTGAGTTCAATTCCCAGCATGCACATCCAGTGGCTCACAAATCTGAAACTCCAGCTCCAGGGGATTTCTGGCCTTGACGGACACTGTAGTCACACCGCACCCCCTCCCCAACACATTCTCCAAAAGGCACACACACATAATTAAAAATAAATAAGAAAATGAAGTAAACCTGGGGTCTGCGATGCAGCTCAGAGCTGTGAGGTTTCCTTGTATGCCATAGGCCTTGGGTCAGTTCCTAGCGGAAAAACCATACTCCTTACAAACACCCTCCAAAAAGAGACTTTCAGCCTGGCGGTGGTGGCGCACACCTTTAATCCTGGCACTTGGGAAGCAGAGGTAGGTGGATCTCTGTGAGTTCAAGGTCAACCTGGTCTACAAAGTGAGTTCCAGGACAGCCAGGGTTGTTCCACAGAGAAACCTGGTCTCGAGAAACCAAGAGAAAGAAAGAGACTTTCCTTCTTTCTGTCCTTCCACCCTCATCTCCTCCAGCCTCTTCTTCTGCCATCCTCGTCCCCAGTCGGCGTCCCCCGTCGGCGTCCCCCCTCAGCCCCCCCCCCCAGCATCGTTTCTGTGGTGCTCAGTTGCTTGAAAGTGTTAGGTACAATCACTGACATTTCTCCATGCCCTGGTCTCCCATCACTCACCCTTCATCCTGCCTCTGCACACTGTCCTTTCTAGTCCTTGAACATGCAGCTTTTTCTTGCTTGGGGTGTTCACATCTGCAGTTCCTGATGCCTGAATGCTCTCCCACCTTCTTAGGGCTGGCTCTTGCCATTCTGTTTTCTAGTAAATCGGGACATTTTTTCAGCAAACTTCCTTCCTTCCCTGCCTACTTAGAGTTTGCTCCTGACCACACAGCCACACAGCGGGTTGTTTTCTTTTCCTTTTCTTTTCGTCTTTGTTTTTGTTCCGGGAAAAGGTCTTGATGCGTAACCCTGGCTGGCCTGGAGTTCGCTGGATATCTAACCCAGACACAGGTGTGACCTCATGGGGTAGGAGAAGGTGCCCTCCCTGGCCCTGACTCCTGGGGCTGGCAGGCTCAGTTGTGTGCATTTCCCCTCCCCTCAGTGAGTTGGTCTCACCCCTCAGTGATGCTGGCAGAGTGCTGCCCAGGGAGGGCTTTAATAATCTCCCTGAGTGTCACAACTTGCCTTGCATGATGGAGGGGTAAGCCCTGCCAAAGCCCTTCACGTTTCCCATGGCTTTGAGGAAAATGGAGCTCCTGGAACTCAAAGGGGACCCTCTGTGCCTGGCCATCCCAGCCATGTCCCAGGTACCAGGCTAGCCCATTAGTCAAGCACTCTGTTTCTACACAGACCTGGTTCAAGACTTTTGCTAGAGTATGTCAGCCAGTCTTTCTGGGAAAGAGCCAGAGGGAACATATTTTAGGATTTGTTCATCTCTGTCACTGCAACATGAACAGACATGACCAGCGTCTAAGTAGATGTGGGCTGCTGGCTGGAGGGAGGCACACTGTCCCAGAGCAGCAGTTCTCAACCTGTGGGTCTCGATCCCTTTGTGGGTTGAACGACCCTTTCACCGGGGCTGCATAAGTCCACTGGAAAACGCAGATATTTAATTATGATTCGTAACAGTAGCAAAGTTACAGTTACAAAGTAGCAATGAAAATAATTTTATAGTTGGGGGTCACCACAATATGAGGAACTGTATTAAAGGGCCACAGGATTAGGAAGGTTGAGAACCACTGTTCTACAGGAAATAGCAACCCTGATCCTGAACCTCAGTTTCCACATCTGCAAAATGGGGGCGACTAGGTGGCAGTGAGGACTTATATGATAAAGTGCACAAAGGGCTAAACCTAGCACGTGCATGCCAAAGGACTCATAACAAAGAGCTGACAATTAGCCGGTAGCAGTACTATGTGAGTTCAGCCAGCACAGCTTTCACTATAAGCAGGCATCATTGCTCCCAACAGGGTTAGGAATTAGCTCGCGTCAGTCTGACACAGAGCCCCTGCTCATAGTGTAGCCCTTTTCTTTTTCTTCTTTTGTTGTTGGTGGAGGGAAACCAGGGCCTTGCTCATGCCAGGCAAGGCCTCATCTCCTGAGTTACACCTACAGCCTTCTTACAAGTATATTTTGCTTTTCATTAGGAAGAAGTAGTGTATTTCACAGCAAGTGTGCAGAGGCTGGAGGACAACTTGCTTGAGTCCTTTCTCTCCTAACATGTCGTTCCAGGGATTGAACTCAGGACATCATCAGGCTTGGCCGCAAGTGTCTTCACCCGCTGAGCCATCTCCCTGGCCTCCCCAGCCCGCTTTCTGCTTCTTACCTTGAGGCAGGGTCTTACTAAATTTTCCAGGACTACCCTGCATTCTCGCTGTAATTCAGCCAGGCCTTGAGTTTGGGATCCTCCTGCCTCAGCCTCTTGAGTAGGTAGGATGACTGGGAAGTGCCACGTGCCCCTCTTGCTGCCTCTCTGTTGAACAGATTGAGCAACTGAGGTACAACGGCAGGGGGCGGGATATCTGGTCCAAGAAAATAAACACAGCCTCCATTGACAGCGGCAAGCTGGACTTCTGCCCAAGATGTCAGCATGTATCACCTTCGCCTGACGCTCGCTCTCCCTTCCGCATCTCCCTGTGTTTTCTTTGGGTGGCAGCCCAGCATGGGGAAGCTGAATCAGCCATCTTCCCTCCTGCCCACCCCCACCCCAGTGCCCATCCAAGTTGCCTCTTAGGAAATGAGCCCACCCCAGTCCCCATCCACAGAGCTGCAGCTCCTTTGCCTGTGGGGGTCATCATAGGCCTGCCTGGGAGCACATGACAGGAGACCGGAGTGGCCAGCATGGGAAAGGGCAGTCTTCTGACCAAAAGGACCACGATTACATCTGTTTCCAGAATGCAGCCAGACAAAACAGTCCCCTTGGGCCTGGACATTTACCAAATAGGGAAAAGGGAAATACAGGGCTAGGGCTTTTTGAGTTCAGCTCTGAAGAAGTGTTGACTGTCTCTCTGTGGCTATTAATGCTTGATGATATAGTGCAGTGTGTTCCTCTTTTCTTTCCCATTTCCTCCTTGAAAACCAGTTCCCTTTTCTGGGGAAAAGAGCCATCTGCCTGGTCCCTAGAGGCCTTTCCAGGGTTGAAACTAGAGGGCTTGAAAGTTTCTTCCAAGGTGGTATTTCCTCAAGTCCTTCCTAGAGTCTACCCCCGCCGACCTGGGCCTCTCTTGTCCCTTGTGTTGGCCTCTGACTTCCTTATTTCAGTCATTAGTTTTGCTGTTTTCTTACCGTGGTACTGGGCTTCGTCTTTACTAGGCAAGTGCTCTACACAAAGCTTTTTTTTGTTTATTTATTTATTTAACTTGATTTTATGTACATTGGTGTGAAGGTGTCAGGTCCCCTGTAATGGAGTCACACAGACAGTTGTGAGCTTCCATGTGGTTTCTGGGAATTGAACTCAGGGCCTCTGGAAGAGCCAGTGCTCTTAACCTCTGAGCCATCTCTA